AGGTCGAGGCCCGAAACGTCAGCCTCTCTGCTCCTATGATGCTGCTTGGCCTGCTGTGTTCATCCAGCCCTGCACCTTGTTGTCTCGGATTCTCCAGCATCTGCAGTTCCTACTATCTCTGAGTCAGATTCTTACATTTGCTTCATTTTATAAAACAGAGGTAAGGCAAAGATAAATAACTTAAGGCAGACAGTAGGACTTGGAAATAAGCCACATATATGTGGTTGAGACATTAAGACTTCCTACTGGTAGGAAGGCAAGAACAAACATTTATGATCTTAAACTTGGTCCAACTTTTATAAATGTAAACTTGGCTTTGATCAAGACAGATGCCAAGAGTTCTGAACAGGAAGAAAAGACAGGAACACTCAGGTCCAAACAAGACACAATCTGAGAGACATGCATGGAACAAATCAAATCAAATTAGACCTAAGAAAAGGTAGCTCAATCAGCACTAATATGAGTTGAAATAAATCATTTATAGCTCTGATGGCTGAGTAGCATGATAATTTATAACATAGCCTCTCTTTGACAGTTGATCAATTTTCAAACACTGGTAATTTCTTTTTAGCCAACTTCAACATAGATACACCAATTTTATAAAATGTCAATTCTCTCTTCCCTTTCCAGCTTAAGATTTTCCCATGCTTACTAACTTTGACCACTTTTCCTAATAATCTATGCAAAGCTTAGAAATGTCCAACTTTGCAAGGTAACCTTCTGTTATATCAATGAGCTGTGCCACCAACTATCCAGTTAGCGTAGAGCTTGAAGAATTTTTGAGAAATGTGCACACTTGCCCTTGCAATCTATGAAAATTCACAGCAGAAACATATTGACATGGAGAGCAATTCAACCTAATATACTTGCAATACACATTTTAAACATGGTCAGTTGGATGTTACCAATTATCCAGCGATTGGTAACAGGAAAACAGTGCAAGTCATGATGACAGCACTTTTATTCTTTCACCCAACTTTGATGCGCTGCTCTGACAGTTAGGTTAAACAGCAATGAAGTGATCCATCATCTGAAGACTCCCAATGTGCCAGTCATCAGCTCCAGTCACCCATTCCAGCACAGATGAGAATCAGGTAAAACTGCTCCTTGATGTAATGTACTGTCCATGAACTCCTGAAAGGGGCACAAACTCATCTTAAATGATGTTAGTGGAGATGATGATTTGAAAAACCGAAACCAAGCTTGTCTATTTAAATCAGAGATAGTAGGAACTGCAGATGCTGGAGAATCCGAGACAACAAGGTGCAGGGCTGGATGAACACAGCAGGCCAAGCAGCATCATAGCAGCAGAGAGGCTGACGTTTCGGGCCTAGACCCTTCATCAAAAAAAGCTTGTTGTCTATTTAAATAGACCTCCATTATAGTTACTGAAGTGCAGTATGTCTGAAATGTAATGTCAGCCAGTACCATAACCATCTAGACTTACACTTAACATGTGCTCTGCTCGCTGGCATCGGCAAGTTACTTTGACTACAATCAACTCTCGTAGAGACCGTTGACATCATCAAAGGAGAATGTTATATGCTGCCTTTAACATTTGCATTCTTACCAGAGAGATCCACAGATAGTATAGTTACTGAAAGCAATTTTTTGACAGCTCACGAAGGCCTATGCTGTGCATAGATATCAAAGGCAATCAGCTGATGGATGAGTTTTTCTAGCATGACTGTGACAATATAAGAAAGGACAACATTGAAGCATGGGTACTAGTCAGGTGAAGGAGGATGGGGGCTGGTCATCTCCAGATCCAGGTTGAAAATCAACACTTGTAATAATGAGCACATGGATGATTGTAAGTCTCAGCCAAACCACAAAGGGCTTGTACTGTGATTTTATTGATTTAATAAACTGATGTATTTAAGTTTGAGCCGAAATCTACCTGTATTATTTTCACTAGGGAAGGAATGGAATTCTTTATAACTGCAGCACCATCTGACCTTGCTGGCAGGGAAAGAGCAGCATGGAGGAAGTGACGAAAGAAAACTGAAGTGGGCAGTTGAGAGGTCGTGTATTTAGAATTCTGCACAACAATTAAGGCAAATTGGGGGCTTTCAATCATTTGCTAGTTTCTACTGTCCACTGGGGGACAGAACTTATCTTATTATGGCATGGAGTGGATAATTAAATATTGCTTGTCTGAATCGTCATAACATAATAACATAATAGAATAACATTCATATCATACAGTAAATAACAAGCAGAAATCATAGCTTTAGTCAAACATAGAATACTACCCAATATTCCTGCATTGATAACTCAGGGGGTCATGATTTTCTTCTCAGAAGTGTAAAGCGAGAATGTGGAACTGATACTGCCATTGCAGCCCTGCCTTAATTGGTCTGGAGATTCAACTACCCACAGGGAAGGCAGTAAGATGATGCTTGAATAAACAGGTTAAAAGGCCCACTTCAGCTTGCAATAAGAAAACAGTCCAGTCCTCCAATGGAACCAACTGCAAAGTATTCGGATGGCCTTAATCTACAGAAATTTAATTAAGTATCCTCTAATTCTACACTTCCTTCTCTTTCATTATCACTTTAAGAAAATGCCTTGCCAGGTTTTTTATAACAGCTGGAAGCTACAGAGTAGCCCATAAAATTGCCTAAACTAACAGACGCTTCAAACCAGCAGTGCAAAGGGGGTAAGCACTGTAAAATGAACGGACAGTTGGTGCAGATGTTTGTAGCCAAGAGCTTATTAAACTTCCCAATTAAACAAACTGACCTCAAAATTTCTAAAACAGCAGACATCTGTGATGAAAACATAAAAGCAATGAAAAAGATTAAACATTTATACATTGTTATCGGGATAGGATACCTATTCAACAGTGTGGAATTAACTCTACCTCAATAAATGAACACAGGCACAGGAGCAGACCACTGAGCCCCTTTAGCCTGTTCTGCCAGTCATTGACATCATGTCTGATCTACAGCCTAAGCCATATACCTGCCTTTGGCCCATATCCCTTAATAACTTTGCTTAACAAAAAGCTTTGCTTAACCTCAGATTTAAAAATAACAATTGATGCAAATAGAAGTACTTCTTAACACTTCTCCTGCATGGTCTAACCCTAATGATCTGGTTTTGTGGCCTAGTTGTAGAATCCCCAACCAGTGAAAATAGTTTATCTACCTTGTGTTTTCCTGTCAATATATTGAAGACTTTTGTATTAGATTAACTTTTTTCAAAATTCATTGAAAGGCTTTTTATATTTACAATCAGCAGAAGTAGTAATCTGGCAAACACATTATTTAATAGCTTGTTATGTAGGAACATAGGCAAAGAAGTAGGCCATTCAGCCTATTGAATCATAGATCATAGAATCCCTACAGTGTGGAAACAGGCCATTCGGCCCAACAAGTCCACACCGCCCCTCCAAAGAGCATCCCACCCAGACACATTCCCCTATCCCTGCATTTCCCATGTCTAACACAAACATCCCTGGACACAACGGGCAATTTATGGACATAGCCAATCCACCCTAACCTACACATCTTTGAACTGTGGGAGGAAACTGGAGCACCTGGAGGAAACCCACACAGACACGGAGAGAATGTGCAAACTCCACACAGACAGTCGCCTGAGGCTGGAATCGAACCCGGGTACCTGGTGCTATGAGGCAGCAGTGCTAACCACTGAGCCACCGTGCCGCCCCTATCTGCTACACCATTCAGTCAAATCATGGCTAATCATCTATCTCAATGATACTTTCCTGCATCATCTCCAAAACCCATAATGTCATTAACTTTCCAGAATTCAATCAATTTCTGTCTTGAATATGCCCAATGACTGAGCTTTCACATGCCTTAGGGGTAGTGAATTCCAAAGATTCCCCACCCTCTGAGAGAAGAAATTTCTTTTCAACTCAGTGTTGTTATACTGAGATGATGCCTCTTAGTCACTATGTCATAGCCTGTAAGAACTTTGCAAGTTTCAAAAAAGTCACCCCTCATTCTCAGGAATACGGACCCAATTTCCTCAATCTCTCCTCCTAAGGCTAACTCACCGTCGCAGGGACCACCTGGTGAACATCCATTGTACACCTTTTGTGCCCAGAACATCCCTTCTTAGATAAGAAGACCAAAACTGTACACACATTGTACGCCTATTCATGGTGTGGTATATCTTCCAAACATAACACTGTCATGATACACCTTAATGAACAAATAAAAACTCATGCCACAGCATTTCTTGACGAACTGTTAAGAAGGCAAAACCATTTTTTAAAACTCTTGCTGCCTTCAACACGTGCTTTATGCTTGATGCAGCTCGTGTAAAATCCAATAGCTCCTAAGGTCTGTCAACCTGCCTGAAAATTGAAAGATTTATGGATGATTGCCTTTCAACATGCCTAAGAACACTGTCAACTATCTTTAATGGGATGTTCCACTTCTAGGCCCTTTCTCTCCCCAGAATCCTAAGTGAAAATTGCCAAAGATAGGAACAGAGGTGGAACTTCTAGAATACTGCTTAGACCCATTTTTATTTTCAGTCCCACCTCCATTTGGTCCCAATTAGAACAATGAAACTCTAGCCTATCACATACAACCAGAAAAGGAAAATGCAAAATTGAGAACTGTAGCGAACAGCTCACATTGCCAAATGACTGATACTAAAAAGGAGGATTTAAATCTGACACTTATTCACTGCAAAGTTGTCACTGGCAATGATCTAAAGGTAATAATTGGTTAGCAAAAAATCATGCAGTATCTTGATGCAAAGGCAACATAATTTAACAATAAAACATTTCCAATACTTTCTTCCATGTAATATTCTAAAGACAGGCTGTTTAAATTTACAGCCCATTGAAAGAAACAAAATAACAATGCTATCATATTGATTGTGTTTAGTTTGATAGGTTGCTGTCTTCTTTATAACACAATACCAGAGCAAAAAGAAAAGATCCCTACCTGGGTATAGTTCAACAGCAGCCTATAAATTAAGATATTTTTTCTCTTTGCTTCCTTTGCCAGTTCTTTGACGTTGATGAAATCTTCCATTTGAACACAGGGAGATGACATTTCCAAGTTGTTCAGATGCACCTATCGCAAAAAATAATCTAAAAATTATATTTGCAAATACTTTTGTCCTATGTCAATAAAAAGGAATAAAGGCCAAAACTACTGAATTATTACTACTGGAGGTAAATTCAGAACATGGTTATCACCTCTAATACTGAAACTAATGGCCCAGACTTTGTAGCTATATTGACAACAAAATCTGTCATTCATTGTCAATAAGCCTGTAAAACTGTTAACATATGCGCAGTTAAGTGCAGAATTTCAGACGTTATAGAACCATAGGAACAGCAGTAGAGCATACAGCCTCTTAAGCCTGTCCCAGTCCTTAATGAGATCATGGCTGATCATGACTTAACACCATATATCTGCCTTTAATCTATTTCCCTTAATACTCTTTCTTAAACAAAACTTTTTCAACTCAGAGTTAAAATGAACAACTAACTCAGAATCCACTGCCATCTGTGGATGAGAGTTCCAAACATCTACCAACCTTTGTATGTAAAACACTTCCTAACCTCTTTCCTAAACGATCTGGCCCTAATTCTCAGACTATACATCCTAGCTGTAGAATCCTCAATCGGGAGAAATAGTTTATCTTTATCAACCTGCCTAAATGAAAAATATCTCACACAACATACTACAGCATCAATGTAATCAAACAAAGAACTGAGGATGCTGAAAATCTGAAATAAAAGCAGAAATTGCTGGTGAAACTCAGTAGATCTGTCAGCGTCTGTGGAGAGAAAGCAGAGTTAGTTTTGAGTCCAGTGATCCTTCTTCAGTACTGACAGCAGTTGGAAAAAAAGTTATTTATGCTGAAGACGAGGTGGAGAGGTGAACAGCTAGGTGAAGACAGATATGAGAGTATGACTACACTTTTCAAAAGAGTGGCAATAAATAGATTTTGCTTCCAAGGTGGTAGATATTGAGTTCCTGACACTGTGGCATCAGATTGGGATTTCATGGCAGATATTTTTCCTGAAAATAATTTGGTGAAAAAAGCCTGAACATTAGAGGAATATATCCCTTGAAGCTACTTGCTTGTCCACTGCTTCAGCTCGGAATGACTAGATGGTCTAACGAGAATGAAAATACAGCTAACAAATGTGTTTTTCAAAAATAAATTTTCTCCATCTGCTGTAATATGTGGAGGTGAAAACTTCAACTATTTACCTATTCATTCCATCAAATTTTCATCTTCATTGCTCTATCGCATGACTTTTACCTGTATTCCCAGTTATCATTAATTTGTTTTTATTCATTCATGGGATGAGGGCCTCTCTGGCTGGCCCAGCATTTATTTCCCATCCTTAATTGCCCAAGGGCAGTTAAGAGTCAACCACATTCCTGTGGGTCTGGAGTCACATGTAGGCCAGACCAGGCAAGGATGACAGTTTCCTTCCCTAAAGGACATTAGTGAAAGAGATGGGCTTTTCGTGACAATCAACAATGAATTCATAGTCATCCGTAGAACCATTAATTCCAGATTTTTATTGAGTTGAAATTCCACCATCTGCCATCGTGGGATTTGAACCCGAGTTCCCAAAACATCACCTATGTCTCTGGATTAACAGCCCAGCGATAATGACACTGGCCATCCCTTCCCCAAGTGATGTAAATTGCTCTCAAATTTCTCGCTGACCAAGGGAACCTCGTCCATTTGTAGGTGCTTAGCTCCATTTCTTAATTGATTAATTTGCATTCACTTTTATGCATTAAACTCTGCAACTGGAAGTATCTTTTGTACTTCCAGCTTTTAAAAAAAAACACAGATTTCAGAAAGTCACAGATAAATTCACTCTGGAAATATTTGCTAAACAAATAATTATGTTGGAATTTCTTTTCCCCATTCACGGCCCTAGTAGGAGTAAATGTCAACTTTTATATCTTTCTGAAAACCATATATATACACTACTTGTCTGTTAACACATTTGCTGCAATCCAACAGTTTCCAGACTATTTATTTTACCATTTCTTTCATTCTAATGACTGAGCAGTATTATTGACCTGACAACCTTCACATCCTGTGCCACTATGTCAACATTTAAAGCAGCTATTGAAGTTCAAGAACTGAGAAGAGTAGGTACTGCTGCTGGCTCCACCAAATTTGTTCCAGCAGGTAATCAGAGATTTGTAAATAAAGAGATTTGGGACAGTGTACATAGGCACTAGTGCATATTTAACACCGAAGCAATAATACAGAACACATTTCACTCCTACTGAATGACAACAGTTAGATTAAACACCCAAAGGTGCCTTAAAGAATTTATTCCAATTTTCTACTTATTGAGAAGAATTTACATTAGTGTCTTTGAGGTTCCATGATGATTGTAAGGAAGAAAGACATGTAGAGGGTCATGCCTCAGTCAAACAATAATAGTCAGTTATTAAACTAACAAAGGTTGAAACAAGCTTTTATGGGAAGTATGCCTACATGTTGAAACAACTTCTAAAGGATTGGTATTGCATCATAAAAGAAAAAAAAGTAAGTCTGAAATAAAATGTAACTAAGTTAAGTGCAGGAAAGAATAATGGATGGGAAATCAGACACAATGAAATAATAATTCTGCTGGTAGCGAAGCTAAGAATTTTATTTTAGGAAATCTCTAAGAAAAAAATTAAAGCTAATAAAAGGCAACCTTCTAAAAGGGGATAACACAATAATCACACACATCATATAAAAATATACTTTACACATGTAGATATCGGTGTACAGATACTAAGGGTTGACAGCACAATATATATTGACCCTTAGGAAACTCTACTGTCTGCCATGTGGAAAGTAGCTATTTACTACGACTTGCTGTTTTCTGTTTGTAAGCCATTTTATTATTCGATGAGCCATCGTTTCCTTAGCAAGCCTTTAGTGTGGTACATAATGTGAAATCTCATCATCAACATTCTATGTTATCGGAGCAAATTTAAACTTCATGTTACCGACTTTTAATCCAGTTTTTGTTTTAAATCAGCAATGTATTTTACAATTTTTGGTGTTTCTAAATATGGTGGATTGCAGGTTAAATTTTATAAGAGCATGACTCTTCATGTATGAAATGGCTTCTACAAGATTGTGAATTAAAATACATAAGTAGGGATGCTAACAAACAAATGTGAGTGATGCTCTTAGATACAGTTTTTGATGAATCCAGCTCAATGACTCAGTCAATATGCTCAGTACCTGTAAATCCTCAATAAAATTCTTCACTTTTCTTATAGTAGGAACACACTTGTAGTGCTCTTTCCATTCAATCACGTTATTAATTTGGAACTTAATGACATATTATTAGAATTTAACGTGATGTTTTTCCTCTTACAGAGCAGGGGATCAAATAAATGCCCTCAGAACAGCTTTCAGTAAAGACTAAGATTTCATGCATTCAAACCTATCAGAAAATCAGCCTAAATCCCAGCGACAACCTATAAGGTTCACATGAAACAAAGTGCAAATAATAATTTATTACTCCTCAAGCCTGAACTAGCAGATTATGTGAATTCACAAGTAGTTATTTCAGTCACAGTGCAATGTAACATCACAAAGCTTATGATGATGTTGTGTTAGTGCATTGTTATTAACGGATGTCCCTCAATTTGAGAATGGCATCCACTCATTGTTCTGAGGGGGTCACTTGATCTGAAACGTTAACTCTGATTTCTCTCCACAGATGTTGCCAGACCCACTGAGCTTTTCCATCAATTTCTATTTTTGTTTCTGACTTACTTCTGCAGTCCGTTCGGTTTTTATCCACCCACTGTTGGTTTCTACCATGAACCTTCATGTGACTGAACAGGCAGATTCTTGACCTGCAGGTCTTTGTGCACATGGGAAGGACATCCAGTTGAATTGGTAGAATCCACAGTGCACGATGTCTTCCTTTTCTTTCGTTTTCTTCCTCATCATTAAGTTGTTTAGACTCCAAGCATGATGAAGTTGATGGATAAGATGTCGTCATTTTGAAAATTTCTAGCAAGCTCCTCCCAGTCATTAATGTCAATATTTCCCGCTTAAAAGGGAGTTTCAGAATGTCCTTATATTATTTTCTTTGACCTTCTCTAAAACACTGACCATTGAGAAAATAAAGAACAAGACCTTGCAGTGGAGATGCTTTTCAGCCAACCAGATGTAGTGTATATCATGGTTAGGTTGGACAGGAGCAGCACCTGAACATTTGGAGTGGTGACTTCAAGGGCAATTGTGTCTGTTCATCAGTCCCCCCACTGAATCCACTGAATGCATTATAGTAATTGCTGGGTGAATTTCTCTAATACACTTGTGTGTTGCTGATTCACAGGTCAGGTCTGTGGTCATGATAAATAATCTGTACAATTAGACTTTGCTTGAGTTGCAGAGGTCCTTGTTGTCAAATACACGCTGGTGTAGTTTGTGGAATGCTGAGCTGGTGCAGATCATCATATTCGAGTGGTCAAACATTTGAAAGTGATCACAACGCATTTGATTTACGTGTACAAGCATTCAGACATCAAATGTAGCTCCCTTCAGGTTATGCATAACCAAAATCCTTGGTGTGTTGCTTGACCTGCCAGACAGTCTCCTGCACCAGTCAAGGAGCATGGAAGAGTCTCGCAATAATCATGTGGCAGAGGGTATTGCTCAAGGTTCTCCTTTCTACAAACTCTGCTCCATCTCTCTGTCATGCTACAGATGCAAACGCCTTACAATTGCAGACTGCATAAGCCTGTATTAAATCTTCTTCCTGTGAGGAATGCAGCAACACTTCCCGCCAAATCCTGTAACTCGCCACGACACCTTCTAAAAGTATTTCATTTTACTTCCAGACACTTTGCAACAGTGAAAGGTCCTCAAAGTCACCTGCCCTAGAACCCGAGTGCCTGACCCTTTACTTAATTTGTGCAGCACCCAGCTTCGAGCTGAAAGCTTTTTTTCTAGAGTGTGTCACAAGTGAATTAATTGAATGGACCACGTGATGCACATTTGGAAACGGAGAATTTACATCACCTATCGAAGCTGGGAGACATCAGAACAAGAGAAGTTCAGTTACTTCCAATGAAATCAGAGGCTGCCTGAATTAACATGCTTCTCAAAAGTAGTATATCACATTGGCTACCCTGAAATAGTTGGCAACATAATGCACTCTCTCAAGAAGGCTTCAGTTAAATCCATTGATCCAAATTTCATGTTCAAAATGTTATAAACATGAAATTTTAACATCCCTGACCTATGACTGTATTGTTTTAAATTTCCTGAGGAGTGAATGTAACAGATTACAGGTAAATAAATCAGGCCAATTTTTACACAGAAAACAATATGTGATCTTGTATATACATACCACAGTCAGAACCACAGGATACAAGGCTGAAAGCTTTGTACTTTCAATCGACTCCACCAGTTGCACAATTTCCTGAGATAATTCAAAATTGTTGACCTGATCAAGACAAAAAGCAATTCATTGAAGAAAAGGCAAACATGTCAAGAGAAATATGCAAAGCATGAAGCAAAATAAAAGGTATTCAGGAGATCTAGCTATATTGCACAGACTCACATCAATGACCCTAGTGGGACATAGCTCACACACACCAAGTTCCACAGTCTGTGTGGCATTCAACAATGATATAACTGGAGGATTTATGTGGACATTGCAGGTACCACCTCGCTGTGCAGCCTGCCTCAGTGAATTGATATAAATCTACTGGTAGCACAAAAAAAAGAGTTATGAAATTAAATTTCTTCGCCATAACATTCTGCATTACAAACATGAAAAAACTGACTATACTTTTGTAAAATGGTATTCTAGTTTACTGAAAATGGCAGGGCTGAGAATGTCATTTGAATTATTTTTTCAGGGTAGATGTCTGACTGTTTTCTCTAATTGAAGTGTTACAGAGCACAAGATCCGTTACAGTCAACATTAGATGAGATCAGCAATTGGACAGCATTTTGTTCAATAATCCTGAGTGTATGAAAAATTATGTTCACAACCAATTTAGGAATGTCGGTTGAATTCACATTGTGGCACACTTGCGGACTCTGGAAGCTACATATATTAAAAGAGAAGGCACAATCCTCAGAGACAGAAAGAACATACGTACGCACGGTGTCTGCTACAAGTTGGACTTCAGTATTTACCTTGAGGTGGATTGGGATCACATTTCGGGATAGGAAGTTTCTCAGTTTTAATTAAATGAGGTCTGGACCTGAAAATAGCTCTTCTCCGTCAGATTTGGCTTGGGGCTTCATACAACAGAATTATGCAGGAAGTTATATTAACTTTGGAATTGTAAGGTTGGGCATACAGGACATTGTATAGGGTTAATGGTAGCAATACTGAGCATGTGCATCAAGGAACTATGTCATGTTAATGCTAGGTCACATTAGAGGAACTTAGACCTGATGGGAGAAGACATTCGTGAAGTCCTGTATTAACAGGCAGACCTGAGTTTGTACCAAATAAATGTTTCCAGTTTGTATTCAGCCCTTGTATGTCTGTTGCTCCTGGAAGATGCTAATCGTATTCCTATACATGGCAAGACCCTGGCTAATTATCTGAAGTATTTGAAGCACTGCTTCAGGGACATTAACAGCCTGCTCAATAATGATCTTGGAGCTGAATCTGTGCTCCTATATAATGCAAAGCCAGCCCAGATTTTAAGATGCAGATGACATTCAAACTAAGGTTAACAAAGAGTATTTTTTAAGAAAAACTAAAGTACTAAATTCCTGACAGACAAGTTCAGAAAACTTTTCAAAAAGCAAAGAAGCAAAAAAATTATTTCAAATCAGCAAACAAAAAATAAATCTATCAAAAAATTGAAGAGAGGGGTTAGGATTTTTTTTAATACAGAGGACATGTTAAAGCATAAAATGCCAAGACACAAACAATATTCAAAATCAATGAAAAATAATTGAGAAGATTGAAAAGCTCATGGAAATGAGGTACAGGTACAGAACTAAGTGGTTAGCTTTTTCAGATTGAAATGATAGTCATGATAAGCTAAATATCCTCCTTTTGTGCGATAAAATGTTATGATTGGTGTCACTATTTCAAAACAAGCTGGATTCAATCTATCTGGTGTGGAATCATTTTCAAAGCTAACTGTAACAATCCCAGTCTGCTTCAATCTGAGCTGGTCAGAGAAACTATTCATTTTTGATCACTCAAAGCAACCAGCGGAGTATTATGAAGAGATAGTTATACAATCATATTCACAAATATTTCAGATACTGTTAGCAAACTTCCCAGAGAGCTGGATTTTCCCAGCTGGATTGTAATCCCAATATTGCACCAATGGTGACGGATGATGGTAATGCCAATGGAAACTGGTTATTTTGAGGGTGCAGTGAGGCCATCAGAAGCCTGCATGAATCATACCAGGTCACTGTGGTCAGTAACACGGTCAGAATGTGGGCAAGTCCTGAAAGCTGTGCAACTGAGGAAACATTTTCATTACCTTAACCAGAAAAGCCTCAGCAAACGTTCTGGATTTGACACCATCCAGAACAAAACAGCCCACTTGATTGGAAAAACATCCACAAGCATTCACTCCCTCCACCACCGATGCTCAGTAGCAGCGGTGTGTACTATCTACAAGATGCACTGCAGAAATTCACCAAAGATCCTCAGACAGCACCTTCCAAACCCACAACCACTTCCTCTAGAAGGACAAGGGCAGCAGGTATATGGGAATCTGACCTCCTTCAAGTTCACCTCCAAGTCACTCACCATCCTGACTTGCAAATATATCACTGTTTTTTCACTAAAGCTGGGTTAACATCCTGGAATTCCCTCCCTAATGGCATTGTGGGTCAAACCACAGCAGGTGGACTGCAATGGTTCAAGAAAGCAGTTCACCACCACCTTCTCAAGGGCAACTAGGGATGGGCATAGCCCACAAATGAATAAGTAAAAACAAAACCTCATCAATGTATTTAGTCACCTTCACAATAAACTCAATTAAATTAGTCAGACAGGATTTCCCTCTAACAAATCTGTGCTGACTATACTTGATCAACCCCTGCCTTGTGTTGATTAATCCCGTCTCTCAGTTTTTTCCAATAATGTCCAACTATTGATGTTAGACTAACTGGTCTGTCATTATCTGGCCTATCCCTGGTACCCATCATGATCAAACGAACCACATCAGCTATCCTCCAGTCATCTGACACTTCACACATAGCCAGAAAAACATTAAATATCTTTGCCAGGACCCCAGCAATCTCCTCCTTTGCCTCCCACAGCAACCTGGGATACATCTCATCAGGCCCTGGGAATTTATGTACCTTTATGCCTTTATCTTTATACTTCTTCCTTATTAACCTTAATGCATCATAGAACCTCACCATCCTACCTTAAGTCCTTAGCAACAAGGCCAATCTCCTTTGTCGATACAGATGAGAAATATTCATTTAAGACCTCACCCATGTCCACTGGCTCCACACATAGGTTGCCCGTTTGGTCACTAATTGGCCCCTCTCTTTCCCTGGGAATCCTCTTATTCTTAACATACTTACAAAATACCTTAGAGTTTTCCTTAATCTTATTTGCCAAAGATAATTTGCAACCTTCCTTGCCCTCCTAATTTCTTTTTTCTGCACCCCACTACGCTCTCGATACTTTTAAAGGTTTCCCCTGTTTTTAATGTTTAATGTTTCATATGCTTCCTTCGTTTTCTTTATCAATCTCTCAATATCCCTTAACAGCTCTTAGGGGAATAGCTAGCCCTGAATTCTTACTATACCACTTTTAAATAACTTCCACTTTCCAAATATAGACCTGCAAGTAGCTGCTCCTTGCCTATGTTTGCCAGATCTTGTCTAATGAAATTGAAATTGCCATTTCCCCAGTTTAGACATCAAATCTCTGCCTTGTCCTTGTCCCTTTCCATAATGACACTGAAACTTACAGAATTACGGTCACTACCCCGAAAAATGCTCACCCAGTGAAATCTCAACCATTCGACCAGCTTCGTTCCCTGGCATTAGGCCTAGCATTGACACTCCTATTGGACTTGGGAAATGTACTGGCACAAAAAAAAGTTCTTCTGGACACACTTTAAAAATTCCAACCTGTCTAATAGGTTCACATGGAGGTGATCCTAGTTAATATCAGCAAAGTTGAAATCTCCAAAAATTACAACCTTATTTCTCTCACACAAGTAATTCAAATGCGGCAATAATCTTCAGACCTGGCCATAAACTCAATAAGTTTACTCCCTTCTCCATTTTCCTCTCTGGTCCTAATTACAATCCAAACTCTTCACTTTTACTGTGTGCTCTCCAATTCCAAGATGAACCTCCAATTCCCCATCCAATTCATCACACAGATTATTCAACTCTATCTCTGTAATATTGCATACCTTTGTAAGAATCTCAGGTCTGGCCAAAACTCTTATTGGCGGCTTCATTAACTCTGGGCACAATATTTCCAATACTCTCCTGGTTCTCCTCATAACTTTCATAAATCTCACACTACTTTTATTTGACCCAGCACCAGATAGTACTTATTCAATCATCTGTGCCTTTATCGACCTATATTAGCTCTCACTCCTACATTCACATTTAAAATTCTCATCCTTAAGTCTATATTCATCTTTGACTTGGCGTCTTCCTATTCTCCAGTCCTCATCCTGAATTGTGGAGATTCTGAACCCCTTGTTTATATTGGACAGCCAGGGCTCCCTGATTAGTCCAGGTTAACAAAACCAATCAATAATCTCATAGTCAATGAGATTCACCTGGTTCCAATCACTACAGTCACGTAACTACTTCTTATCTGCATCTTACAGCATCCTTCTCATACCACTCTGACCTCCCACTGCTCTCTGCCCCATCTTTTATAACCATGTCTCCACTACTTCAGCCCCACACTCCAGATATTCTTCCCTAAAAAAACTCTACCTCTTCAGTTCCTTCTGTACTTTCAAAACTCACCTGAAAATCTGCTTATTTGTTAAACATTCAGCCACCATTCCTAAGCTCTACCTCTGGCTTACCATCTGTTTTTCTTATACTTCTATGAAGTACCCTGGGACATTTTGAATTAAAATATATTTGCTGGTATCACTGTACAAAAAGTAACAAAATGCTAAGGGTATATTGCAAGACAGCAAAATATCAATTGCAAGCCACTAGTTTGAAATCACACGGTGTAATTATAACAAATTGCTTAAGAATGACAAAATACTCCTTTGTTCACAATTTAATAGTTACCTACGTCTTTAAATGATTCAACTTCTTTAGTAAAGTGAATGGGTTTGTATGCAATTTTTGGTTCAACTACTTGAATAAAGTAGTTGAACCAAAACTTGCATACAAACCTATTCACGATTTTACTATGAATATTATACATTGAAATTTCAAAGGAGCAGTAACTTAATTTGGATTGAGAACTGTGTTAGCACCTTAAAGCGCGTGCCTACATGTGTTATT